CTTCAGTAATCAATTAACAATGATAGCCCTCAACTTCATACCTTATCCTAACATTGACTAAGGATCTAAATAAGACTCGAAAATCCATTCCAAGAGTTATCACCTACTCAAGGTGGTTTACATAACTAGCCTCCTAGAGCGCCACACCAATATCATACAATGAAATATTCAACTTTCAAAAGCATTTTGTCCTCTAGTCCTATGTCAATCAACATGCTTTAATATCCATAGGATTCTTAGCATCAATATCTCAACAAGTCAACATACCATGCCTAAGTGCCTAAAGCATTCTCAGCATTCACCACAACAACATTCATCTATATTCATTACCTTAAGTCAATGGATATAAATCTAACAACATTCATAAATTTATAGCATGCCAATGCATAATCAACCTTACATTCATCTACATATATCATCATAGATCGATATACATAGAGCAATATCACCAATCAACATACGTTATGTAATAAATTCACATAACCTATCCATGTTCACTATTTAATCATACACATAACAAGTGTTTTCAAAACAAATGGTGTTCGACACCATTGAGGCAGCGAGCTCTTTGCCTTGCCCATGTTCGACGTTATTCCATGGCCACACCTATCGTCGCTGAGGTAGGGAACTCCTGGGACCTCAGGCCTGGCATGCCAAAGTCTCATGCCTGGCCTCATACCAACCTAAGATGATTCTCTCTCCTCACGTTTGGCACCCGACAACAATCTAGGTAGAGTCAATTCTCTCACCTCATGTCCGACACCATTCAAACCACACCCGACACTAGTTTATCTTGAGACAATTTTCTCACCTCACACTCGACATGAGCAAGACAGAGTGCCCCCTAATTGAACCATGCCCGCTGCCTTAAGGCGTGTCTGGCACGAAAATAGATTATGCACTTACAAACTTACGAATTTGGCTCAAACCACTTGAAAAATAGAAATCATCAACATGCAAAGCACCCAACAACATATATTCATCATTCACAACTCATTTTGCACCATAAATCCAACATACAACAACAATTTTGATCATTCACTCAAAATTCACTTCCATGAACTCAATCCCAAAGTTCAACCAACAAAAATCCACACCTTAGAAATCATTTATACAATTATACATTCAATGAATTCAAGGTACATACAACTCATCAATCTATCAAAGATTCAAGTTTTAGCTTCCTTTATCTCAACTCCAAGCAAGAAAAGATGGAAATGGTTATGAGCTAACACCTAAGCTCCATACCAACTGCTACTACCTCTTAATTCTCAATCCAAACGCCTCGAATAACCAACTACTAAGGTCACATCTCTAAGACTCCTCGGAAGCTAGAAGAAGAAGAATTCAAAAATCAGAGTCTCTCTCTAAGCTTATCTCTTTAGATTCTTTGAGAATGAGTTTATGAAACTCAATTATCAAAAGAAACATATTATATATTATTCTCCTTAGGGTCAAATTGGACCTCTATCCAAATAAATTCTCTATAATGCTTAAAAACTTCTCAAGAATTTTTTACTTCTAGAATCTCTCAATACCTCACCTCATAACAACTCAATACACAATTATTATTAAAAGACAATAATTAAACAAAACTAACAGTTACAAATTAAGATGATATCTTAATTCAAGAGAAAAAAGCTTTAAATTAAAAAAAATATTTATTTATAAAGAATTTTGATTTACTTTCTTCTAGGTAGATAAACGAAGAAAATAGTTATTAAAATATTTTTTTTATCATTTATGATAAGATTATTGATTTTTGTAAAAAAAAAATATTTTGAAAATTAGTACAAAAATAACTTTTAAAATCGGGGTTTTAAAATCGGTCATCAGGTAGCCGATTTTAAAAGTAGAGAGCCGATTTTAAAAGTAGAGAGCCGATTTTAAAAGTAGAGAGCCGATTTTAAAAGTAGAGAGCCGATTTTAAAAGTCTACTTTTAACATCGGCTCTTAAGAGCCGATGTTAAAACTAGACTTTTAAAATCGGCTCCTGAACAGCCGATTTTAAAAGTAGGACTTTTAAAATCGGCTCTCTACTTTTAAAATCGGCTCTTAAGAGCCGATTTTAAAAGTCTACTTTTAACATCGGCTCTTAAGAGCCGATTTTAAAAGTCTAGTTTTAACATCGGCTCTTGAACAGCCGATTTTAAAAGTTTACTTTTAAAATCGGCTATTGAATAACCGATTTTAAAAGTATCACTTTTAAAATCGGTTATTGAACAGCCGATTTTAAAAGTAGCATCAGAGAGTTAATTATACTATCTCCGCTCCCATTGCTCCATTCTCTACTACTCTTTGGCTTCAATATCATATATTCTTCTCTTTACTCTCTCAGACTCTCATATGAAGTGTGCAGCTTCTCTTTTTCGCGGAAGAATACAACATCGAGGTAACATTCTCGTCTCATGTGTCTTATTTCGTTGTTGCTGGGCGAACTTTGAGTCTGGAATGGCCCTAGAACAGCTCCAGAACGTCCCGTTCTGCAAGCAGAACGGCCTTACTGCTTGCAGTACGACCCGTTTTGCAAGCAGTACAGGCCGTTCTGGGGTTGGTGGATGTGCCATCAGTGAGGGAAAACAATGCATTAGATGTAGAGGAGGAAAGATTTCAAGCTGATCTTAAAATGGCCGTACGCCAAAGCCCGGGTAAGTTTTTTTTTTTCATTCCCTGCACTCATAGACTAGTTATGTGTTCTCTTATATAACATGCTCTTCATGCAAAATCCACTTCACCGTTAATGACCAAGGAAATGAAACTGTTTAGATGCCCATTTCTTGGGAAGTTTTCCATTCTCCTATCCTTTGTTCTGTTGCTTTCTGTAATAGCCTCCACACGATTAATTATATGTGATTTACAATCTTTAATATTATATAACTATGAAATTTGGAAAACATATCAAATCCTAAATATTTACAGAAGATATACAGTTCCTAGATAGGACATATTTCTCATAAATGAGAAAACCTCTCGACACTCGCACGATTCTACTTGGCCTACAACCAAAACTTGACATGAACTATTAGCTGAATCCTGAGAGAAATGCTAATGTTCCCTACTTTAAAAACTAATTCTGGGATCATGTTGAAGAATTATGGAACTATGACGATTCTCTAACCTTGAAAGATATTGTTTTTATCAGACACATATCAAGCTCGTGGAAATTTATCTTCGGTTTCCAGTTTAAGCATGTCACAAAGAGCTTCCTCATAGGTAGATAGTGTCAATTGTCCTACTGTGGATGACTCAACCGATAATGTGAATGGGGCTACTTTGCTTGGTACTAGATTGAAGAATGAAGTGGGTGAATATAATTGTTTTCTCAATGTTATTATACAGGTAGGTCTTTGAAACCTCCAATTCATTACTATATCAGCTGCTGCACTGTTTATTTATTGATGTATTATTTTCCATAGCCTAAAATAATTTTTTGTCTTTGTATGACCTCAGTCATTGTGGCATTTAAGACGCTTTCGGGTGGAATTTCTTGGCAGATCAAGATCAGAGCATGATCATGTGGGTAGTCCTTGCGTTCAAGTGTTTCTGATGCAGAATCAGCTGAAAGCATCTGTATGGGGTCGTGGGACTGTGCAAATGGTAGTTGTATAGCACATTCACCTTTTGGAATGAACATTTTTGAACAAATGAACTCCTATCACTGCGGCCGTGAATCCAGACATATGAAATATAGTTTTACTCAATTTGTAGTTTAGGATGCATCATAATTTGTAAGTTACTTTAATTACATATATGGTTGACATTTACCAACTCTTGTCATTTGTATGTAATTTGGTATATTAAAACATATGAATTGTCTGGTATTTTATTAATTTTTAGGTTTTGTTTAGGGGTCCTCCTAAAAAAAGTCAAATATTTAAAAAAAAATTAACCACTTTTAAAATCGGTAATGTCATGACCGATGTTAAAAGTAAGACTTTTAAAATCGGTCATGGCATAACCAATTTTAAAAGTCTCACTTTTTAAAATCGACTCTTTTAAAATCGGTCAGAAAACCGATTTTAAAAGTAAAAAATGACCGATTTTAAAAGTGTTTTTTTCACTGGTATAAGTAGAGAGATTTCTCGTTAGTTAGTTATTAATAGTATAAAAATCTTGTGCACCAAAATTAAATATAGAGTAAAAAATTAAAAAAAAATGCAAAAAAGAATACTAGTAAGTTATCTTTGCATAGAAATATAATTAAATAAATTAAACAAAGGAGAAAAGTCACGTGTAGAGAATTGAAATTCAACTGGGGTGGTGAATGCTTTCAAATTGTAATCTTTACTATGAAGATTATCCTTGATTTGTACTCATCTCATCTGGCAATTGGCATGATGAATTCCATACGTCCTTAGTAAACCTTTTCAACTCCTGTAACTGTCCATTTGTCCAGCAATTTAAAATGGTCAATACATTTGACTTTGTCAAACAAATATATGCACACAAGAATCATATCATATATATATATATGTTACATTGTTCCGATCTCTCGCGTCGGTATCATCATATTTTAAATGGGCTATAATAATAAAATATCAAACTTCAGAAAACAATGTATTACCTCACAAGCCTGGTTGAAGTTTCCATAATATGAAATTGAAAAGTCAACATCTGATAAAATTTAGATCAACATTATTAGAAACAGAAACACCTATACGTATTTCAATATTCCCATCTTCAAAGAAGTGAAGGTTCAGATTTACATATTTGTTGAAATATAAGTATTAATTAATTTCGGTTTGTACATACACAACAAACCAAATAATATGGTGAAGCATTTCATGATCAAACTTCTAAAATTAAGCATTTGATGTTGGCAGGCATATGACCAGGATAGGAACAAGAACTCAGTTGGTCAAAACCTGCCGCTATTGAAAAATCAAAAAGTCAAACAATAAAGTAAATATTTTAAAAAGAACCACGTCACGACAATAACTCATAATGTATATACCTTCTTTCTCTTCTCTCTTCTTGTGATTCTTCTATGGCTAATTTGCTCGTGAATGAAAATTATGTTTACATGACCATCTTAATCGTTACATCAATATTCTTCTTCTTGAGTGCATCAATTATAGCCCAAGAAGACACCACCAAATTCGAAGAGTGTGGCAAGGCATACAATTGTGGACAAATGTCCATCTATTACCCTTTCTGGGGTGAGGAGAGACCAAGTTTCTGTGCCAGCAATCACCAATTCAAGCTCAAGTGCGAGGCTAATCAAAACACTACCATTCAACTTGGCTCACAAACCTTCCAAGTGCTTCAATATGATCAGGTGCGTTATACCTTGACGATGGTTCGAACAGGTCTTGTCTATGATAATTGTTCTTCCGCGGCCTTAACCAACACTTCCTTGGACTCGAGTCTCTTTACTTACACGCCAAATGCTAGGAACATCACCATCTTCTATGGTTGCCCTAGCTCCGTGACTTCAAATAGCACACACTCTTTTATGTGCCGGGAAGGTGGTGACAAGGGTGCTTTTTATGGGGACCCAAAAACTAAAAAAATTCAGGATTGTGAAGGAGATAGTATTGAAGTGCAAGTAACAGGAGAAGAACATGAGCCTGATGGTGGAATTCAAGGGCTGAACAAAGCCTTGAGTAAAGGGTTTCAAGTGCATTATTCTTCAGAAGCTCAAGTTCAACTGTGCGTAAAATGCATTTTAAGTAATGGAACATGTGGGGCTAATGATGAGTCTCAGTTTTCATGCTTTTGCCAGGATGGATCTGAAGCTTTAAATTGTTCTCATCATCGTAGTAAGGCTTCTTTCCCTTCTCTTCATATTTATGTGTCTTGCATTGAGATTTACATGTGGGGTTGAACTCTTAATTAAGAATAGATTTTGATGCAATTTGGTTGCATAAACTCAAGCATCTAGCTAGCTTGTGCCGACGGCTTTTCTAGAAAAATATTAGAACTAGGAAACCTCTGAAGATACAGGTATTGGTCCAGTCAGAACACTTTTTTGTAGCTCATTAGATGAAAATTATTGCTGATGTTCGAAGATGTGATTAAATGGATCTATGATTAGGTGGGGGCTTTATCTTTAAAGTCGTTGACTTTTTTTAAGGGTGACCAACAATTGATTGCTCCTGAGTTTGAGATTTATTTTCCTGATTCTGGTTGAGGAGGAGGTTGTGCATAAATCTTCCTCCTATTTATTCAGAATTTTGAATCATCACAAGGAATAATATGTTTTGGTTGTTTAGACTATGGATATTTACTGTCATATATCTATTTTATCCCTTGGTATTTCTAATTTGGTCGTCACAAGTATCGTTTGATAACTTCTTGCTGATTCCGTATGAATAGATGCCATGTCTTTATTGTATTCTGAATTTTCAAATAGTCAGAATTTTCTCTCTGCAATTTGGTTCTTTTCTTTCTTTTTCTTTAATGATCCGTGTCAAAAATCTAGATTTTATAGTGTAATTCTGTGTGAACGTATTGTGATTTGTTGACTTTGACTACTTTTGGCCGCTTTTATAAATCGTATCATCATGTTTTTTTTATAAAGTTTACTAATCCCTAATTGCTAACTCATCAAAAGAGTATCAAATTAATCGGATAGTTCTTTGACAGCCATAAACTATTTCGTTAAAAGGTTCATTGAATGTTGTCAAGCAATACATGCTTACGCAGAAAATTGACTGAAATAGAGTATTCTGTATGTTAAACAGTTCAAATTATTAATTTGGATTGGCACTGTTGATTTGACAAGGGAAATATAATATATGGTATGGTTAATTTTCAAGTTGTCTGATGTTAATACAATAATTCCCATTTTGGCCGCCTCTGGTGTCTCAAGCAACTTTTGGTGCATTAAGCCAAATTAAAGTGGTTACATTCTTCATGAACCCTTTCGTTAAACTGTGAAAGCTACATTGATGAAAATTGTTTATTTATGTTATCTTCGAGTAGGATATCCTCCTTGAATTCGCATAAACTTTCTGCAAGGTTGCTTTTAAAATTATCTCTCTCCTCTTTATGTTCTATGTGAACTGTCTCAGGTGATAAGTGGAATTGGAAAAGGAAGCTCGGCATAGGTAATAGATTTAATTATCCTTGATTAATTTTTTTCCACATTTTGATATATATTTCATCAATAAAATTGAAAAACTCAATGATTCTTGTTAGGCCTTGGAGCTGCTGTGGTGAGTGCAATTGCAGTTGGCATTGCCTTCTATATCTATTATAGTCGTCAAAAGAAGAAGAATCATCTTCGTGAAGTATCATCATCTGTACTATCTCACGGAATCTCTTGTGGTTCTTCATCTGAAGACCCTGAGATGGGATGTAAATACTTTGGACTCCACTTCTTCTCCTATAGTGAACTTGAAGAGGCCACAAACTTCTTTGATCCTGCAAGACAACTGGGAGATGGAGGATTTGGCACAGTCTATTTCGGTAAACCTTAATTAGCATCCTTTGTTATTACTATTGACTAAAACATCAATTTTGTCCTTCAAATTAATTACCATTACTAATCAATCTTGTCCTGATGTTACACAAAAGAGTAAACTTTGTCATTAATTTTAATCATTAGTGATCAATCTCTAACATTGTCAAACAATTTAGTTGTTGAAGTCCATAAATTTAAAGAACCAAATTGACTGATTCATGTGTTAACCTGTGTTGAAATATCAAGATATGATCAATTTAATTCGTATAAGGTTTAAATAGTTTTTATGGATCAGATGCATGTTTTCCTTGTGTCAAGAATCAAATTGAAATTTTATTAAATATTTAATTGAAAAAATCTAAGTTTTACATCGATTATTATGGAACTTATTATGTCAACCATTATTAGATTACTATTGAACTATTTATACACATTTAATCTTACAAATTTTATATATGAGATATCAATTAGTAATACTATTAAAATGAAGGATATAAATGAAGCGCAATTCACATTATTCAAACTGTTGTAGAATTGAGTTAAACAAAATTTCATAATTTAAGAATAACAATCGGTATTTGTGTGCTTTCAAATTTCAATGATCACTGACAAGTATCCTGCCTTCTACATCAATTTCTTGGCTAGGCAAACTTCATGATGGACGTTTGGTTGCAGTGAAAAGAATGTACGAGAACAGTGACAAGGGAGTTGAGCAATTCGCGAACGAAGTTGAGATCTTAACTGGCCTACACCATCAAAACCTTGTGTCACTATACGGTTGCACATCTCGGCACAGCAGAGAACTCCTCCTCGTATACGAATACATTCCAAATGGAACCGTAGCTGACCACCTTCACGGTCAAAGAGCAAAGCCAGGCACACTCCCTTGGCACATCAGAATGAACATCGCCATAGAAACCGCGAGTGCATTGGTATATCTCCACGCTTCTGACATCATCCACAGGGACGTGAAAACCAACAACATTCTCCTCGACAACCACTTCAGTGTCAAAGTAGCAGATTTTGGCCTCTCACGTCTCTTACCAATGCATGTCACACACGTTTCCACTGCCCCACAAGGGACACCTGGCTATGTTGATCCAGAATATCACGAGTACTACCACCTCACTGATAAGAGTGATGTTTATAGCTTTGGGGTGGTGCTGATTGAGCTTATATCATCCATGCCTGCGGTTGATATCACAAGGAGTAGGAATGAGATAAACTTGTCCAACATGGCCATTAAGCGGATCCAAAGTGGGGCGTTGCATGAGCTGGTGGACCCCACTCTAGGGTTTGAGAGAGATTTCAAGGTGAGGAAAATGATCAATGGTGTGGCTGAGTTGGCGTTTCAGTGCTTGCAGAGTTCCAAAGATGTGAGACCCTCTATGGCAGAAGTGTTGGATAGATTAGAGGATATAAGGAGTGATGGAAAGTGTAACGGGGGGCCTGAGGTGATGGATTTATCAGAAGATAATGCTGCTTTGCTCAAGAATAATGAACCACCTCCATCATCACCTGATTCAAATTTGGTCACCTTGTCTACACCACCACATGGTACCTGTACATAGAATGATGGACCTGATTTCGTTATGAAAGCGGAGTCTGATGGATCATTTTTTTATTGTTAATTCTTTTATGCATGTGCGTAATGACATTAGTAACACGGACACATTTATAAGGACATGTTTTGACTGATACCATGAAGGAAAAAAAAAAATGAATGGACTGTTTTCTTCTTAATTTGTTTTGGGAAAAGGTCTCATAAGGGTTATGCCCTGCTTCATTTATGGCTATCATATACTGTATTTATATAGAGAGATTCTTGTAATGAAAACCTTAGAGCCGATGCTTTTGAATCCTTACTATGTTTAAACACAACAAATCCGACTTACTTCATCTGTTTATTTATTATAAGCAAATTTTAATTATTTTTTTTATTTAAGGATATTTTCTTAAAATATTTCTCCTTTAATGAATGATTTTTGAGTTACATTATTTCTTCTAACATTTATAACAAAACTTTTATGAAAGCAGGAAAATTTAATACAGAGAGAGTATAATTCTTTCTCACAGAGTTAACTTTTACAAAGATAACTTTACCAAAAAAAAAACTTTTACAAAGATAAAGTTGTACCTCATGTTAATCTCTTAAATTAACAATCTTGAGTAAATGTTAGAACTTAAAAAATAAATGAGTTATCTTAATTTAAAAAATGGAAATTTTGAAAGAAAGAGAAGTTGTTACGGTTCTAATATAAACATGGTTATTTTTAATTAATTAAATTTTATATAAATTTTGTAAGCTAATTATTAGATTAACATATGACCCTCAAAAAAATTTATCCTTAAGAAAGATTATAAAAAATCAATTTCAAAAATGCCTTGAAACTCCCAAAAGCATGGTTATTTTTAATTAATTAGATTTTATATAAATTTTGTAAGCTAATTATTAGATTAACATATTACCCTCAATTTTTTTTATCCTTAAGAAAGATTATAAAAAAATCAATTTCAAACATGCCTTGAAACTCCCGAAAGCATTTATTACACATCAAAGAGTAGTATGCATGAGTCAATAGTTACATAAGAAATGGAATGACGATAGTGATCCTGATAGGGCAAGTTTACGTAGGCCCAAGCTTCCTCCGTATTGGGCCAAAGATTACAAATTGGAATAGTTGTTTCTTTACGTTTTTAAGCCCATGATGTTTTTATCTTTTCCTTCAAGGTCTCTTTAGACCATTGTAAGAAGTATTTAATACCTGGACTCTCTAGTTGAGGGGTATGATGAAATTCTGAATTAAATCTTTCTTAGCTTTGTTCTGGTAGCCCTAGTTCTTACGGTAGTCTCTATCAATTTGGTGCTTTCATTGACCATGCCTCCTAAACCTACTCGGGATTCAGACTCCAATCGACCTTCGGATGAGGCCATCGCCACCCTCACCTCCCAGATTGCAGAATTACAATTGCAATTAATCCAACAGAATCAAATACATGATGATCGCCATGATGCCCTAACTCTTTTGATGTCCAATATGATGGATACCTTCACTCAACAACTTCACAACATCAAATCACCAGGTACCTCTTCTTCTTCCCCTTCGTCTACTTTACCCACCCTAAATATACCCGGATCTATTCCACTCACGGCACCAACTATGATTACTCAACCCATCCCCAATTGTCCCCCATTTTGTACGGCCCCACCTATCCTTACAACGAGTTCCATTAATTCCCATCTTCATACCTCATACAATCCACCACCTCCTAACCCTCTCATTTTCCCCACTTCCATTCCTTACTCCCATCACGTACCTCACCCCCTACAATACCCTACACCTGTTAGACCACCCAAACTACAACTTGCTGTGTTTGATGGTTCCGAGCCTCTAGATTGGATTTTTCAGGCTGAGCAATTTTTTTTATTTTATCAAGTACCCTGGGAACAACGGGTGCCCATGGTGGCATTCTATATGAAAGGTGACGCCCTCAGTTGGTTCAAATGGATGTATTCTTTGAATCAACTAGGCGACTGGACTTTTTTTAGTCGAGCTTTGGAATTGCGTTTCGATCCCTCCACCTATGAAAACCATCAAGGTTCCTTGTTTAAACTCAAACAAGCTGGATCAGTGGCGGATTACCAAGCTAATTTTGAAAAATTGTGCAACAAAACGGTAGGGTTGTCCCATGATAATTTGTTGAATTGTTTTTTGTCTGGTTTAAGCCCACCTATCGAACGCGAGCTCAAGATTTTAAAACCTCAGACCCTTACCCAAGCTATTGGCATGGCTAAGTTGGTGGAGGAAAAATTAATGGATGCTAGGCCTAAGTTCCCACGCCCTCCCATGACCACTACCCAAACTACACCCCCTTTCTCTAACTCCTCACGGCCAACCACCTCCCAAAACACCACCTCACCATCCGTCATCTCTTCCCCAAAGTTGCCCATTAAAAAGTTGACAACACAACAAATGCAAGAACGGCGGGCCTTAGGGCTTTGCTATAATTGTGATGAGAAATTTGTACCTGGCCACAAATGTACCACCCCCAAGTTTTTATTGCTATTGTCTAATGATGAAACTGATTCAGCCGCGCCTACCATAGACGTTGCCGAATCACCTGTGACAGCAGAGTTTGAGATGGGCTCCCATTTTCATTTATCCACTTTTGCTTTAACCGGCCAACCCTCAACTCAGACATTAAAATTTCAAGGCTCAATTTTCGGACAATCCGTTAGCATTTTGGTGGACACTGGCAGCTCGCACAATATTATCCAACCCCGTATGGTCAAATTCCTTAATCTCACCCCGGTTCCTACAATGCCTTTCAAAGTCATGGTGGGCAATGGTGAGTATATTTCTTGTACTACAGTTTGCAAAGGGGTTCCTATCCAGTTTCAGACACATTCATTTGAAGTTCCACTATTTGTGTTACCTATAGAGGGGGCTGATGTAGTTCTCGGGTTAGCTTGGTTACAAACTCTCGGGCCTGTGCATGCTGATTTTTCGGTCCCCAGTTTTACCTTCTCTCACCAGGGCCGACATGTTACAATTGAAGGGGACTCTCAATTACCTACTCAAACTACCTTTCCCCAATTTTGTCAACTCCTTCAACAAGATTCGATTGCTACTTGTCACCTTCTCTCCTTTACTCATATTGCCCCACCCACACAACCTCCCACACTAAACCAAACCAGCCATCCTATTCAACCTGAGTTGAATCAATTATTGCATGAATACGCTCGGGTTTTTCAAACTCCTACTGGCCTTCCACCCTCCCGTCCCCATGACCACCATATCAGATTACAACCCCACTCCAATCCTATCAATGTTAAACCCTACAGATATCCTCACCACCAAAAAGAAGCCATGACACAAATGATCAAAGAGATGTTAACCGAGGGCATCATTAGACCCAGTACCAGCCCCTTTTCGTCCCCAGTTTTATTAGTAAAAAAAA